ATGGTACATCATGCCACACATGTACTTTAGGCACCTAAAGCCTGGGCAGTCCAACCCTTCTGGGTTGCCAGCTGGAAGTAAGGGATGGACCAGTAAAGAATCCAGGTAAAAAGATAGTCCAAATGCAGGTATCGTGGTTGTTGTAAACCGAATAAGAGCAAGAAGTACATAATGAATGTCTAGTTAGAAAGGTTGGTGCTTGAGAAATGTCTGTAGAATGGCAGCACCCCAAAAGGTGGCGTGAGATATGCATACGGAACGGCAGGTCATTATGTACTAATTAGGAAGAAGTTATAGGAACATGCAGGTAAATACACATGTGGGACATGTACCACTCTGTTAGGTTTACCTCGAGGATAGACTAGCTTATATTAGTAAGTCCTAAGGTAGGGTGCAAAATCCAAATTGTGTAGATGCAAAATCCACATATGAATATTTATAGGTTAGAGGGTAGATGATGGTAGTTAGAACCAGATGGTTTAAATGGTACCCCTGTAGTTGGGGTGCAGGTACAGTAGATAGTATGGAACCCTTAGCATAGCACTAACATTTTGGGCGGACCACTTAAATTAGGCACCAAAAGTACATGTGTGGCATGATGTACCATCGTTGTAATTACATTATAAAACATCGTCTATACTCTAATAATAAGTCTCCAGGCCAAAGAGGTCACCTTATTACCAAAAAAAAAAAAAAAGGTAATACTCTAATAAGGTTATTGTTATACTTTAAATCTTGTTTACTTTATTAAATATAAAATTTTATTATTTTAGATTGGTACTAGATTTAGAGTTTTTTATGATCAGAAATAAACCTGTTACACTATATATAATTACAAGAATTGAACAGACTTATGCAGAATTAGAAAATGAATCACGAGAACCACCAATAAATACACAGCTAATTGAAAAATGTGTATTAAATGGAATTAATGTAAATAGTTACAACCAAATTTTTTGCAAGGTATATAAGTTGGCTTTGACCAAATTTAAAAAACACCTTGATAAACATAATGCACTTCTCCTTTTTAAAGCAATTAGATGTTTTGGCCCGAGACACATACAAGCACAAAGTAATAGGCATAGTTTAAATATTTATAAAGAAATTGATGAGTTTATATTACCCTCAAATAATTTAGTTGTTGAATGGGGAATTTATTGTGGTCTGCAAGAAATCTTTGATAAAAATTTTGACATTAATAGTTACTGGATAGAAAAAAGAAGTACATTACCAATTTTATCTAAAATGGCTTCATTTTATATTTGGTTGCCTGCTTCAGGTGTGGATGTTGAACATAGTTTTTCTGCATACAAAAATATTCTTGGTGACTGTAGAAGGTGTCTTTCAGAAAATTCTATTGCGATGTTAGATTTTTATATTATAATAATGATTATTAGAATTTTGGTCAATTTATTGAGATGTTTCTAAAACAAAACTGTAAAATATTTTAGATACACTTTTTGCTGTATTGTTGTATTAAATTTTAAATCAGCTTAAATTTCAAAGTATTATTTATGTATCGCCGCAGAATCTGCAAAATTAAACAGTAATTGCAGCAGAATTTTACCGTTAAAGCAGCAGACTCTAACCCCAGATTCTTATCTGTGAGCGCTATTGTTAGATTGAAATAGTGATGGCGCAAAAATTTTGATTTTTATTCAACCACTATAAGATCAGTGTGTAACATACAAAAAAAATAATAAAAAAAAACCAGAAATCGCAAAAACTCATAAATTCACAAGGGAAATTGGTCTTGTTATAATGTAAAAGTTTCATTGTTTTGCGCCATCAAAATTTCACCCCTATTGTTATACAATTAATAGATCCACGTGGTTTCATTTCGATATAATAAATCAACAATTTGGTTTTTTTTTGATTATAAGTTTGAAAACAATAATTATGGATAGGAAAATCAGCAAATACCACAGATTTGTATGAGAATAAAATACTAAATTGCAAAAATTTAAGTATATTTGGTCGTATCTCTTCAAGCTGCGGATGCATAATGTAATACATGATTAAAATGCGCGATTGTGCAACTAGGATAAAAGCCTATCCGCATGTGGCTAAATTTATACTGTGACAGTTTGCTAAAAATGTAATTCCTTCAATTTGTTTTACTACGTATAAGAGCTTAAGATGAGCGCAACAAGCAACCAACTTCAACAACTTCAAAAATATATTATTGAGAAGAACATTAGTAGTTATGATTATATTCGTTTTAGGAACGTTGAATTTATTAAAAGCGAGAGATTTACAAGAGTGTATCATGCTGTTTTTAAAAATAAAACCATTGTTATATTAAAATCATTCGAAAATAATGATCTAATTATTAATGAAATTATTAATGAGGTAATCTGTGATTTTACATCAGATCAAGTTTGTTCTATGCAGAACCTTAAATTTCTTAAGGCGCAGTAACTGCATAGATTAAATTTAAATTTAATTGTATAATTATGTAATTACTACATCGTTACTGTTATTATGCAGTTACTGCGCCTTAAAAAAATTTAAGTCTGTAAAGTTATTATATTAATAATGTTATGGTATGTCATTAAATTATTATACGTATGCACAGCTTAAATTATATCATGAAGTGGATATACACCCCAACGTTATACGTTTTAATGGTGTTACTAGAAAAGAAGGTAGAATAATACATATCTTAGTTTCTTTATTTATAAAATGAACTCTACGTTAATTATTATATATATATATTGAAGGAGATTAAAGTATTATACCTTACATGTTGATTTTTGAGAACGTCAACGGTGGAACTTTAAAGTCATATTTACATGAAAATTCACAACACCTTTCATGGAATGATATGATTAAATTCTCATTGCAAATTGCAAGTGCTGTTAGATATTTACATGCTAAAGGAATATTTAATCTTGGATTGGTAATATTTTCATTGTACTGTAATTTAGAATTCTTTTTTTTTTTTTAATTAGATATTAAATTAAAATATCTATTTTCAATAGCGTTCGGACGATATATTTATACATAATAAAAATATAAAGCTTGCGGATTATGGGCTTTCAAATAGGTTAAAGGGACAAACTATTAAATATCAGCATCTCAGATTTTACAAAAAATCCGATGTATACAATGTTGGCTTCCTTATGCAAGAGATTTGCAACAACATTCTATTTACTGAAAATATTGTCGGTCCTATAGAAAAATATATTAAGATTTATGAAGGTATAAATTTTTTTTATGTTTCATTTGGCATAACAGATTTTCGTAATTAATTAATGATAGACTGTTTGCAAAATGAGCCTAATAGTCGTCCAGAAATTCGGACGATTGTTTCTAATTTAAAAGCTTTGATTAATTGTAATCAAAATATAAACAGTCATGATTTAGAAGTTACTCATTTACCGAATTCCTGTATAATACAAAATCATAATTCAATACCATTACAAGAATCACCTATGCATATAGATAAAACATTAAACATAGAACCAAATCACTCATCAAAATCGGCTGCGGATTTAAATAACTTATTGGAAACGAGCCAAATGTTTTAAATAATCGTGGGATGATTTTGGATCGACATTATCCCGTTGAAACATCAACTCAAAGTAACGGAACTTTCTCATATTATCAAGATAATACAAACACACATATAAATTCATTTGATGTTACGACATCATTTCCGCTTTACTTACCTGATACAATAATTTCAAATAGTTCAGCGCATGGTATTGGTCTTGAGAATATGAGAAGGGAAGCATATAAGTGTTTGAAGCAAGGCAAATTTCTCAAAGCGTTAGAATTTTACGAAGAAATTATTGAATATTACCAGTATAACGCCGAAGATCAGAAAAATGCTTCAACCTGGAATCTCTCTTTGAAGTGCAGATTAGAAAATTTAAACGAATTAATAAAAGCACTTTGCAAGAACTCTACGCTGACTTCTTTGGTTCTTTATAATAGTAATCTTGGATCAAAAGAAGGAAAAGCATTAGCAAATGCACTTTGCAAGAACACCACACTGACTTCTTTGAATCTAAGTTATAATGCTATTGGACCAGAAGGAGAAAAAGCATTAGCAGATGCTCTTTGCAGGAACACTACTCTGACTTCTTTAGATTTTGCTTGGAATAATCTTGGATCAGAAGGAGGAATAGCATTAGCTAATGCACTTTGCAAAAACACCACATTGACTTCTTTGGGTCTTAGTTTTACTAATATTGGGTCACAAGGAGGAAAAGCATTAGCAAATTCACTTTGCAAGAACACCATACTGACTTCTTTAGATCTTTCAGAGAATAATCTTGGATCAGAAGGAGGAAAAGCATTAGCAAATGCACTTTGCAAGAATACCACGCTGACTTATCTGGATCTTTGGAATAATAATCTTGGATCCGAAGGAGGAAAAGCGTTAGCAGATGCACTTTGCAAGAACACTACGCTGACTTCTTTGTACTATCATTCTAATAATCTCGGGTCGAAAGAAGAAAAAGCATTAGAAAATGCACTGTGCAAGAACAATTCTGAAAATTTTAATAATATTGATTATAATGCTAGTAATACAGTGGCGTTTTAGGCTAGTGCCTTAATTATTACCTTAAATTTTAGAATTGTCTTTAAATTTAGGACTTTACGAAACTAATTTTTTCTTTCTACTATAGACTTTGTCTAAATATTGTAATCTATAAAAAATGATTCGTAGACACTTGAAAGGCTTAAAGCTATCTTAAGCTATAAGGCACATAGAAAATTTCTAAATACGATATTTATTATAACTTGTGGCAATGTAACTATCCATGATGTGGTGCTTAACTTATATCATTGCCAATTTTGAAAGTTAGTAATTATAAAAGCGTTTTTTGTTGGTTCATTTTTTTATGAACTATCAGCTATTTTGACTTTATTATTATTCTAAGACAGGAAATAAAAATAAAATCTTCAATATAGCAAATTATCTTTTGCCTACAATTGATGTGGATTAAAATATGGATTTTTATCACCAACCTCAGAAACTATAGAACATCACTAGGACGGTTGGTTTCCCGATCGCTAATGTTCAAGTTTAGCGAAATTAGTTGATAAAATCTGTACTGACTTTAAATTATATATATATATATATATATATTAAAAGCCGACCAAAATTCTAAATGTCATTTACTATATTTAAACCCGATTCTTTGATTAAAAAAGTCTATAATATGTTTTATTAAGAGTTAATTACTATTTTTTAATTAGGGATGTTCTCAAACATATCAATCTAATGATTAAATAATAATCACGATGGTGCTCAAGCATCACAATTAATGACGATATTTATAAAATTAAGTGCTTGAGCATACTTTTCTATTTTTCGTAATATTCGCCATGTCGCCTAAAAAAAAAAACCTAAAAAAATTTCAGTTCGACCAACTGCCGAAGATTAACTTAAGTTGTGTCGGTTCTTCTTTTAATTATTTACCAATTTATAATTTCGAATAGGTCGGGAAGCAAATTCTAATTACAGAATAGGTAAAAATGGTCTTTTGAGTCAATTGTATTTAATATTCCAATGAATGATGTAGAGTAGAGCTACAGTAGTAGTAAATTAGTGATGTCCAAAAATTTTTGCCTTTTCGTGTAAACCGAGCTTTTGGGCTAGGCAATAATGCTGGCCATTGTTATGCTCTAATTTTTATTTTTAGTTAGTATCATATTATTCTATTTGATTTTATAAGTTTCTTATTTTAGTATAGTTTGTGGCACGGTTGGGTGATTAAAGCTCCAACCGGCTGATTAAATCCCCAAACGACTGATTAAAGCTCCAAACGAATGATTAAAACCCCCATACGAATTAAAAATATACAGTATAAGGTGTAGTTTCAGATTATGAGGAGGGAGAACAATTATGAACGATTGTTAACGGTTATTAATAGTATTTAGTATTATTGTAATATTCTGATGTATTGATTTATATTAATAAAGAGAAACCTTAACCTGTAATTATGTGTTAGTTTATCGATTTAAACAATTTAAATTGGTTCAAAACCTATCAAGCTCTCCCACCGGTCGTAACACCATCTATATGATAAAAATTCCAATCTGAACAATTTTATTTAGTATGTTAGCTAGCGGTTTATTAGTAAAATTTGGTGATTTGGGCAAATTTAGTTAATTCCGGAAGCTCGGTTTACACGAAAAGGCAAAATTTTTTGGACATTGCCAACCTACTACTATAATAGTTTAAAAAAAATTTAACTAACGGAAGACCGTTTGGCGGTCAAAAGTACTTATCATTCCAATTGATAAGAAATGGAGGTCAAACATCCTTTGTTTTTCACAGAGTTGCGCTGCATGGCTAAAATTTTTCATTGATGGATTACAAAAAAATAATTGTTCAAACACTTTACCCTTTTACTATTATGGATCTTCAAAATCGTAACCAGCGCTTATGTTGATACGAATAAAAAAAGCGGGAAGCTGAAATTTCACGAATAGCCATACTTATTATATTCTAGTCTTTATTTATATGCACTAAATACAATCATTCTATTATCCATCCCTAATGGATTTCACATTCAGCATTTGGTTTATTCAAAGAAAAAGTTGTTCCAGCTAGTTTTGTTGTAGCAACATATGAAAGTTAGCAAAGTCTGAAAAAGACGAAACAAAAGCTAGAATTTCTGCTATGGGTTTTTGTTTCTATGGGTTCATCGTCTCTTTTATTTTTCATTTATTTATTATGGTTTTGTAAAAGCAATAATTTTTTTATGGTAACGATAAGATAGTAATAATAAAAGTATTTCACAACCATCAATCGAAATCAGCATTTCAATTACTGTAACGCTTGAAGTAAAAATAATTCCGAGTTATTACATTGAGGAAATACTTGAGAATCGTCAATTACATTTTAATAAAGGTCTAATTAAATTTTACCGTAATAGATGAGCACCATTACGATCACTAGCTAATTAATTGAGTATGCTACTTGAGAAAACCCTAAACATGCAGTATTCAAATCGTCACTAACAGGCAACATTAACCACTTTGGTAATGTCCAATTTTATAATGTAACTGATTTTAGCTGATAGTTTATATTTTACAAAGATGTAGTAGTAAAAGCAATATCCAAATAACTAAATATGTTTTAATGTTTGATAAATGGATTTAACATTACGGCGCATTTACGGAATTAAGGAAATTAAGCAGATATAGTAGGAAGATGAGTTGAATGGTAAGAAGATGTTATGTTGCCATAAAACTGGGGTGAAGAAAAATTTTGGATTTTGATAAATAATAAATTTAGTGACCGAATACTTGGATTTGGAGCAAAATAAGAATTCAAATTAAATAGATACTATCGGTAGTCAAACTTTTTCAAATTTACAAATGCGCCGTATTACAATTGCATCAATTTTATTCAACATTCTCATGTAGAAAACAATTTGTATTTTCATTCTTTTATACCGATTTTTTTTTTTTTTTTTTGGCAATATTACTGGACCATGGATGTAAAAAACTATCTTTTATTAACCATAGCTGCCGCAACAAATTTGGACCTGCAGATCCTCGATTTTGATTGGCTAACGGCCGAGGATCTTCAAAATTTTGGCCCACATTACAAAATTGTTTACTAAA